CACCTTTGGAATTCTGACACAGCATGGTTTGTTTTAAATTATTTTTTAACGATTCCCCCCAAAACTCCCCCCACCCCAATTTTTTTTGTATATTTGTGTGGTTGTGCTTGTGTGTGTGTATGTGCTTGCGAGCCTGATGGTGACTTCTGGGAACCCCTAGTGGGGCAAGGACGTTTCAGAGAGGTGGCTTTGATATTACCTGCCTTTGCGTTCCGGCCCTGGTGTTCCTTGGAAGTCTACCTTTCAATTACTTGCCAAGGTCGGCCCTGCTTAGCTTCCAAGATCTGATGAGATCGGGCTTGCCTGGGCTCCCCACCCCAATTTTCTGGTTTTTCTCTCCCTGGCGTTAAAGAGGGCTGACAATGACAGGCGACTTTGTACAGAACAAAGGGAGGGAGGACGGCTGGGAATTAAGAATCAATCACCGTCCAGGATTGCACTGTGCAGTTCAAGATTCTATTGATCTGTTTTGATTATGTCGTGTTCAGCGTTTTATATATTGTAGGGACTGGAAACACATATTTTTCTTTTAATGTAGGAGTGGATTATGGCAGATGGCATCCAGTGCATCCCGAGCGACTCTTTCATGTCAGAAAGGATAGTGGTGCTTTATGAATCAGAGAGACAGGGTGGAATACAGTATGGCTCTCTAAGCCCAGAGAGCCCCACCTTCAGAAGGTGGGTCAGAGACCACACACTGAGTCTTCCTGAAGTAATTTTGCTGACAAGCAGATAGAGGTAGCTGGTGGCCCTCTGTGAATTAAGCGCTCCATAAAAAATTGGAACAGAACTAAAGTTTAAGCATTCTGAAAGATTGTTCCAACGGGAGCAGATATCTAAGAATGCGGTTGAAGATATAGCTCTTCTGCCTTACAATATCCGGAGTATGCAGCAAACAGTTCTCTTATGCTTTTATTTCATTCCAAGACTTGTTTCTTACAGAATTGGCCACCCCAGCTCTTGACTAGAGTAGAAAGGTGGAGAGACTTAAAAGTAAAGACTGGAAGCTTGAAGTCTGTGTTCATTACATTTATACTCCTGGTTTATCTTCCTTTGTGGGAGGCACAAAGTACACAACAGCAAACTATGGGGAAAAACACCATTTTATGTGTAAAAACATTTGAGCTGCACTCATCAGAGAGCCAGTGTAGTACAGTGGTTTGAACATCAGACTCCTAGAATATGGGAGACCCAGGTTCAAATCCATGGTCTCCTATGGAAGCTTGCTGGGTGACCTTGGGCTAGTCACACCCTCACACAGCCTAACTTAGCTTTCAGGGCTGTCATGAGGATAAAATGGAGATGGTGAGTATACTGTAGGCCACTTTGGGTCCCCATTGGGGGCAAAAGTGAGGTATAAGTGAATAAATACATTTATATGTGCACAAAATTGTTAAGGTACTGTCTGAGCAGATACAAAACTGAAACATGATAGATATGTATTCCAAGCCACATTAATTACTAGGAAAGCTGGGGTGTCTCTGTGTTTCTCGCTCAAGACCTAGGAGCCTTATCAAGTAATAATGGCCAGCACTCCAGCAGACAGCAAGACTAGTCACAGATGTGGCAGAATGCAAGACTATGAGAGACCACCATTCACACACTTGAACCAGTCTTGATTGGGAGAGGAAGAATATTCAGTGACAGAAACTATCTTCTTGTCTATGCTTGTCACTTCCTTTACAAGTGTATATTTGGTGTGCATGTGTTTAATCAAATGCACATGTGTAAGCAGTAAAAGGTAAAGGTTCCCTTGCTCGAAAGCCAGTCGAATCCGACTCTAGGGTTGCGGTGCTCATCTCCGTTTCAAAGCCGAAGAGCCAGCGCTGTCCGAAGACGTTTCCGTGGTCATGTGGCCGGCATGACCAAACGCCAAGGCGCATGGAACGCTGTTACCTTCCCACTGAAGTGGTACCTATTTATCTACTTGCAATTTCTTGCGTGTGTAAGCAGACACACATACAAAACCCTAAATCGAAATATCAATGCAGTCCATGACTAATATGAAGAACACTGCAAAGAGGAGGAGAGAGTTGAGAAGAGGGGCAGTGGAACGATCACAATGGGCAAAGCCAGTCATGCGCTGCTCCAGAGGTAGTGACATCTGAGCGTTGCATGGTGTCTTTTTATAAACAGCTGTACTTCGACACGGCACAAGAGGTTCCTTGATGAACCCTTGCTTCAGACCCACACCTGCCTTATTTGCCTCTTTCCTTCTATAGGAGTTCTACTCCTCCAGCCACACAGAAAGAGTCTCTTTCCTGGCATTTGTCTCTCAAGTGGACTCCTCTGTTCTGCACCACTATCACTCTGTCCTAGAGCAGCTCAAGGTAAGAACACGCACACACCCTCGCCCTGGTTTCAAACAGATTGGTCATTCAGTGGTGGTGGGCAAAAACGAGGGGGGAGGGTGCCGAACCTGGGGACTGAGGATTATGATCAGCATTAAAACCAACAATTGAGTTAATCCTGCTGCGTTCTCCTCCTCCCCTTCCTCAGGCACTCTATGAACCAATTAACCCGGACCGGGATACACTGCAAGAGTCCTCTTTGACAGACGCCGAACGGTTAAAGAAAGAGCAGGAAGTTTTGGGCAGGTTGGAACCGTTGCTGGACCAGGCCAACTTCAACAGCTTGTCGGAGGATACGCTGGCATATGCCCTGGCGGTCAACCACCCTTATGACGAAGTCCAGGTGCTGCCTTGGCTGGGGAGGGTCTTGCTGTCATCTACTGAGTTTAACGTGCATAAAGCCCAAGGACTTATTTATTCCTGAAAGTAGGTCTGGGGCCCTCTGAGCTCTTGAGGTTTTGTCCCCTGAAGTTTTGATGACATTGCCAATGGGCACAGGATGCCCCTTGGGCCTGGTCGATGCACGTAGTAGGAAAACAAGGCTGAAATGAGGTGGCAGAATCCTGAGTAGAATGCAGTGATGGATTCAAGCTTGGAAGAGAGGGGGAAAACGGTGTGCAAATGAAAACCTAGTACCAAGCACACCCAGTCCAACACTCTGTGTCACACAGTGGCAGAAACCCAGGTGCCATCAGGAGGTCCACCAGCAGAGCCAGACCTCAGAAGCCCTCCCACTGTTGCTCCCCAAGCACAAAGAATACAGAGCATCACCGCCCCAGACTTAGTATTTCCGCTAAGCTGTGTTAGTGTGAGCTAGCTCACAGTTTTTTAGCCTCCAGCTCACACATTTTTGTCTTAGCTCAGGAAGGATGGCTCCAGAGCAAACTAATTAATGCAGTAGCCAAATCACCTGTTCACAACTTTGATGCCGGTAGCTTAGAAAGAATTTTTGCTCACGGGACTCCACAGATTAGAGGGAGCATTGCCCTAGACATGGTGTTCCATCTGTACCTTGTGGCTAATAGGCTAGCCACTGATGGACCTCTGCTCCATATATTTATCTAATCCCCTCTTGAAGCTGTCTATGCTTGTAGCCGCCGCCACTTCTTGCAGCAGTGAATTCCACGTGTTAATTAGTCTTTGGGTGAAGCAGTATTTCCTTTTATCTGTTCTAAGCCTACTGCTCATCAGTTTCATTGAGTGCCCATGGGTTCTTGTATTGTGAGAAAGGGAGAAAAGTACATCTTTTTCTACCTTCTCTGCCCCATGCAACATTTTGTAAACCTCTCTCAGGTCACCCCTCAGTTGTCATTTCTCCAAGCTAAAGAGCCCTAACCTCTTTAAACTTTCTTCATAGGGAAAGTGTTCCATCCCCTTAATCATTTTAGTTGCCCTTTTTTGCATCTTTTCCAATGCTATAATATCTTTTTTGCGGTGTGACCAGAACGGTACACAGTATTTCAAATGAGGCTGCACCATTATGGTACTATCCCCAGCATAGCATTTACCTTTTTTATTGCAATTGCACAGTGAGTTAACATCTTCAGTGAGTTATCTACCACGACTCCAAGATCTCTCTCCCAGTTAGTTACGGCCAGTTCGGACCCCATCAACGTATATTTATAGTTAGGATTTTTGGCTCCAATGTGCTTCACTTTGCACTTGCCCACATTGAACCTCATTTGCCACATTGATGCTAACCAGACCAGCCTTGACAAATCCCTCTGGAGCACCTCACAGTCCTCTTTGGTTCTCACGGCCCTGCTGCACCTCTTTACTTGCTGTGCTGTTTGCTGGGAGTTCTTAATGTACAAAGGTGTAATGTTCCAAAATGGGATTCTCCAATTGGAGCCTGAAGTAGTAGTACATGCAGTCCATTCTATTTCTTCAGGTCTCTTCATTCTCGTTCTTCCCCATATGTGAGCCAGGGCTTAGAGGGAGCTGCACTTCATTTACAAAGCCACTGTGTTTTCATTCCAGGCCTCACTTGCTTTCTACAGGTGTCTGTGAATCTGGACCAGTATGAATACATACGATTCTGGGCTCTCGGACAACGCTTCGGCCCACTGCGTGTGATGACGACCCTTCAGGCCCAGAGGGGCTTCTTTGGCACATCTCCTCGGATTCCTGCAGACAGGCAAGGCAAAAAAAATAGTCTTCCTCTCGCATGAAATCTTGTGGGTATGCCCAAAGGATCATAGAATTTGGATTGCTGTGCTATGATTGGATCACTGTGGCTGTGCTTGTAACTGTGTCCCTAAAAGGTGTGTTGTATGGAGCATACACGGTTCTTGTGAAAGTTCCCTGGGTAGTATATGTGGCGATGTTGCTAGAACTCTCCTTCAGGCTGGATGTTCACCGTCACCACCGCCACCCTCTTAGTAAAGGCGGGGAGAGAGAAAGACGTTGTCAAGCAATTATGGAAAGCCCCAACCTGCACGTTATAGCAGTGAAGTGGAGGAGATGTTATGCGGTATTAGTTACGCT